TAACTCTCACCGTGCCACAGCAAATGCTTGTTCTCCACAGAAGAATGTAGACGTGCTTTATTGTGCAGCAACTGTTCTGTGGTACATGATTTAAATTAGCATATAATAGAAACCTAATTGCCCACTAGGGCCCAAAGCTTTAGCTGGTGGAGATCAATGTGCTTCCACTGAAGTCAGTGTAGCAATGTTGATTTTCACCCCTTGAGGATCTGGCTCAGCAGCTTGTTTCTATTCCAGGCATTGTTAAAGGAGATAGTGTGTTTAGAATATTAAACCGTGGCATTGTCAGAGATAGTCAGCTCAATTTATGTGCAAGTGAAGAGAAATAAAGCGGTAAAACCATTATTTTTATCTGAGGATTTCAATTTACATTGTCGATTACTCATATTGACTGATCTGGTACAACAGGGAAATCATGAGCGTGGGGTCATCTTGTTGTGGTTTTAATTTCCTACGTCTGTAGTTATCTAATCCTCTCAGTGTGAGCAAGCGTGATTAGTATTTATTTCTATTCTGTGTGCCAGTGCCCTGGGCCAGGTTCTGTGCTAAATCCAAAGTGACTCTCCTACTTAATTGGCATTAACTTGTGCTGCAATAATATAAATAAAAACTTGTACTTTCCGTGGAAAGCACCAGCAACTCCCCAAACAGATTTCTTCTACATGGATGTTCTGCCCCGACGTTAAGGCTTGTGATATATCTGTTTGTATTTTTTATTCAGTTTGGAACTTTTTCTAGCAATGTTTTCTGAATAATACTTTGGGAAGCGCAGACTTGGAAAGAATCTGGCTGCTTGTTAACCATTGAGACACTACCAGGAGCGTTGTTACAGCTGTACCACTGTTAATAAATTGCTGCAGTAAGAACAGCAGCTGTCTCTCTCTCTGGAGAGTCAAGCACCAAATGAACAATAATTCTTCACTTTGTCAAATGGTTTTAAAAATAATTTGGAATGCTTGCTTAGAGAAGCTTATTTTACTTAATGAATGCTCCATTCAGGAATAGGGAAACTTGAGGGCTGAGCTGAGCCAAGAGTTCTTCTTTGTGGAGTTTGTTTCCTTTCCTTTCACTTCCAGTATTCTCAGAAGACCTCTGGCTGTTCCCCCACTATCTCTGCTTCCATCTGTCCCCTGGGAGCTTTGGATAATCAAAGTTATGCTGCAAGTATTCTTCTGAGTAGGAAGGGGGGAGTTGTGGTTAAGCATTTTGGGTCTTTATTAAGGACGGTATAGTAGTGGTGTGTGAGAGCCTTTTAAAATAGTCCAGTCTTGGGCTGTACAAATTTGGAGCTGCCTGGTGTCTGTTCCTGTCTGTTTTCTGATGCATGCGGAACACTAGCGTAGAAAGAAGCATCAGCACTTGAAAGGGCTGGGAGGCTCTGCTCGCCGTGCTCGGTGAGTCACTGTATGGCTTCATTCGGCTTCGGGTACAAGGTTGTTCTCTTGTCCTGACAAAGGGATGAAGCTTAGCTCATTCAGTGGTTTGGGTTGGCTTTGGATAAAATGGTTACAGTGGCACAGGTGCTGTTTCTGTTAATTTCTTCTGTCTTTATCAGGCCTCCTTTATTTGAGGAAACACAATTCCAATATATTCACTACTTGCCAGTTTCTACCTTTTTGGGTGATTTGGCCTTTAGGAACCTAGTGCTAACCACGTGAAGCAAGTTGGGTTTTCTTTTTGGTCTGTCAAGTGCGTTTAGCAGTAGTTGATTCAATAATTTCATTCTGTAATCTCCTGTTGGGACTTGTATTCTACCCAAAGCGTGTATTCTGCCTGGCTCTGTGGGACACTGGATTGTCTTCTCGTACTGTCAGACTTGTTTGAAGATGTCAGTATTCTCTCTTTGGGGTTTTTTGGTGGCCATTTTGCAAGTCTGTGATTTTTATAAACAAAAGTAATAAAGTATTTAGGTATTTATATACATGTTGATGGTAAGTCAGCACATCATCAAGCTCTTTTGTTTTCGGTACTGGGTTTTTCAGCTTCGATGTGGGGTTTTTTCAGTTAAAAACATGAGGACACATTCAACATGTGTCCAGAGACTTAGATAACATGAGTCATCCTGTGCTGCGGTAAGGAAGCCATCTCAGAGCCGGGTGCCCGCGACAAGCATCGTGTTATCTGTGTTGCAAAGATAACATTAACATTTTAGGGTCTGATGGCCAAATGGCACAACACCAAACACAATAGCTTTTCTTTTCCCTGGGTGGTAAATCGTGTTAGATAATTCATGATGCAAACTCCTGTTATTTCTAGAGTATGCGAGCCTCTGATGGCATAGCAGATTTTCTTAGCTCTATAGGTTAGATGAAAAGCTGGATAAACTTTGAGAGCAGCAAAATACGCCAGTAGTTACACTGCAGATCAGCTGATATTTCTTTGCTTGTATCATCTTACTCCCCAGCGTGGTCAGAGTTGTACAGCTCTTGTGCATTGTGCTTTTTGCCTTTTTTGTTAGGAAGAAGCAGGATCACAAAGATAATGGGTGAAGGCACTGGAGCATTCATAGCAGTAATTTCTAAGGGCTGGAGATAAATAAGCAGGCAAAGCTGAAGACTTATCTGGGTGGGGGTATTAGCATTTTGAATATTCTCTGCACAGATGCAGTTATCACTTAATTGGCTGTACCTTAGGGAACACTACAAAATCACAGCCATAAAGCAAAAAGCTTCTGCATGTAGTCCGTAATGGTTCTGTTCTGCTGTACGGGAAACTGAGGCTGTTTTGCTCCCAATGTCACAACAGGGAAGGAGGAGGCTTGCTCCGGATCTGCCGCTGCACAAGCTGGGTTGTGCTGGTCAGCATCTTGTCCTTTACGCGTCTTCTCGTGATGTCCTTCATTGGTGTGAATCACAGCTGTCCCCTTGTCCCCACCAAGCTGCGGGAGCGGGGCTGTGGTCTCCAGAGGCTGGCTGCTCCCACACCAGTCCTTTTCCCCAGCAGGGCAGTGGCTGCCGTAGCCGCTGTTTCAGCACGGGGCGCAGCGCATCGCCCGCGCAGTCAGTGCAGCAGTTGGTCCGTAGGTCTGTCTGCCCTGCACACCCCTCCTGTCCGAGAGCCGACGCCTGCTCACCTGCCCTTTCTGTGAATTTTGGAGCCAGTGGAGAGTTCTGCATTCAGGGCTGAAGCGATTTGTGCTACCAATGGGGTTGTAATGGGCAGCTCCCCCGAGGCCAGGCGGTGTGCCGGGGGCC